CAGCAGGAAGTTAAGCGGTAACAGGAAAATTTCTGTTTTAAGTAGGACAACCTGGCAATTGCCTAAAGATCATGTTTAGTCTGTTCTTAAGCCCTATCATTCAGAGATATCATAGTCATGAAGCGATACCTAGCACTGAATTACTTAGAGGTGAGTGATACTCAAACACTTTTTAAGATAAGAGCTACAAAACGCACAGTACATTGAAGAGTACCTAAAATACTGCAGGTGCACTTGCTTGAGCACCTAAGACTGCTGACCTCAAATGCAAATGGTGACATTGAGCTCTTCAGTATCACACAGAATAATGACTACTACCCTTTATTTGCCTGAGGGTAGATAATGCCGCCACCGATAGTCAAAGGCTCAGTTCTTCTGAGAAAAACAATGGCATGAAAGAGTTTCTGAAGTAGTGTACATTGCCTGAGAAGGGCTGCAGAAAAATAATAAATCTGGAATTGTTTTATACTGATGTCTTTTTTTTTATGCTTACCTTCAAGGAGAGATTAAAGAAGAATTACTTTATAATTTAGGCAGCTCTATATATAACATATACTGATTCAAAATAATTAAAAGCTTATCTTTCAGTTAGCAAAGGGTATTCTTGGAAAAGGAATACCAGTATTTTTGGAGATTTTGTTCAGAAGAAACAGACAAATGTTATGATGCTTACTCAGCCTTTTTGGTTTACAATATGAGAACAGAATTCCCATCAGATTTGAGGTATTTTTTTCATTCTTGTAGGTTGGAAATAGAACGAGAACTTTTTTTATAATATCCAAACAATATTTGATCCAAAGCAAAACCGTATAGTCAAAAGACAAAAACTAATGACTTTTTTGAATCTCAAAAATGAATTGGCTTATTTCCATTACTTTTGGGGTAAAAGTTAAAATCTTCATTTCAGCCATACTTTCAGTAGAAAAGCATGTATTTTTAACTGCATCAGAAAATACAGACAAAAGAAAACAGAATAATTTGTTACCAAAAATACAGGTGATACTCAATCTACCTGTTAAAGCCTGTAGATGAAAAGAAAAAAATATCCACATAACTGAATTCCTTATTCTCCTTTTTAATAATTCTGAAGTGCCAACCCTCCTGAAACTCACTTGCAAAAATCAGATTTCTGGACTTGCTTCAGTTTGAAAGCAGCCCAGAAGATATAATCAAATGTCTTTCATTCAAATGGGTGGTTACTGTGCATCTCTCTAAAATGGCAAACTTCTCAGAGTAGGGACCTGGTCTCCAGCCCAGAAGGAGTAACAGTTTTCCATTTAAAAAAAAAAAAGTAATAGATGCAAAACTGGGAGCAGGACCATAAATTAAAAATTCCCATGTCTCACCCAAAACTATATAATTTCTAGAGTTTTGTCTGAGCAAGAATTTAGGTCTAAATGTCTGAATGTTCTTTATTTCATTATAAATATAAATTCTTTACATGATTTAAAAGGATATGAACATTAAAAATATAGAGAAAGAGTAGAACCAGATTATTTTGTCTTCTGTAGTATCTTGAAGAAGTACAGGACTTATAAAGCATAATGCAAAAAGACATTTTCTACTCTTAAAATTAAGAGTAGCTGGCTTCTCTGGAGGCAATCCCCCATGATCTTCAATTCCTATCTTTCCTGACAATGTTTAAAAAACGAGCAAAAGTTTGCTTGAAGTTTCTTAGACTATGAACAGCAAAATAACAGTGCTAGATTGTCAAGAGACACCTCATTTACCCCATTTACAACCTGTGAACTTGTCTCATTTTGTCAGAACAATTCGTCAGAAGCATTTACAATGCTGTAGAAAAGCCTTACTATTCTTTACGTTGGCATAGGCTGCTTCCCCCCTTGTTTCTGCGGCAACGTCACCTCTTGTGCGCATAGGAAAAGTCACGTTCTCACTTTATTTGCAGTACTTTCAGCCAGAATCTGAAAACACTTCACTCACTGGATGGAAACATGGAGGAGAGACTGAGCATCAGATCAACAGACAGATCTTCACAAGTCATTATGTCTACCACTAAAACTATGCCTTCAAACACCAGCAAAGCTGGAAAGGGGCACCACAGGTTCTCTCATTTCCACTGATGTAAGGCCAGGGAGCTACCTGGATACAGTTCTTTCAGTAATGCATTAACAGATGAGATATTTTACCTCCAGAAGAGTGGTTTGTAGTGTAGGCAATACTGATGGCCAGCCATACCAGCCATTTCCTGGCAGGCAATAACCTAGTTGGAGAATCAAGGGCCAAAGACAAATCTAGCCAGTTCTCAGCTGTTAGGAGATGTCCATGCCAGGCATGATAAATGTCACTACAAATCAAGACAAATTATTTGCTGAAAAAAATTAATATAATTGCTACCTTATCCCATTTCTGTCCCTTAATGTTTCTCCAAGTTATTTCCTAGCTATTAAAGACTGATCCGGTAATCGCTGACAAAACAAAGCAGTCTGTCTACTGTAATGCAGATTAATTTTTCAGCCTGCCACGCAGTTACTGTTCTCTTGGATGACGACACTTTACAGTATCAAGGCTTTAGTGTGCCATCTGGTGGATTTTCAGCATTTGGTACATTTTATGTACAAACCCAGTGATGCAGAGATGTCTAATATACTGACATGAGTATCTACCTTTTTTTTGGCCAATGACCTTGTTAGAGAAAAAACAGTATTGCTGATCTTATCATTCCACATTTGGTCAGATTACATTTTTGCCTGAGAGTAATAACTTAATTCATTTCATATTTCCAGTCAAATGAGTTTGTAATACATTGTAACTTTAGCAAATTTGTTAGGCTGATTGATATTATATGTAATTGAGTGGTGGCTCTCTCAAAAAAGGCTTCTAGACAACTAGCCACAAATTAAGACCCTCAATGACACTTAAATGCTTAATTCTCACTGACTAAACATGCTAGGATTAGTCTCTACTTGGAATGAGGGTCAAAGATATTGCAGCAAACCTATTACCACACAACGTCAAACAAAACAGAGAGTTTGAGTACTGATTCTTCATTTTAAGTACCACAGCCACAACTGTCATTAAAAATACTCTAGGTTCTTATGACACATTAAAAATGTGAAACCAGCTAAAATAGTTGATAAAGTTATGAGTTTTCGACTGTATCCACCCTTTCTTTGTAACTGTGAGGCATTTCTTCATTTCTCTTTTTTATAGAGCACGAGTTGTGTGATAAGGAACCTGGGATAGATTCAATTTCAAAATGCCTCAAGTCCTTTGAGCACACAGCCCTAAGAGGGAGTGTATCTACTACTCCAGCACAGTGCCACAGGCACGCTTCCATTCTGCGCAAGAGGCAGTATATTCCATCGCAGCTAAGACTTCCAGGATTTTAATGCTAGCTGGAGGCTGCCCTCTGAATAAATGAGCCTAAATGGGCAGCTGGACGAGGCTTCTACCCAACATAAAATGTCAATTCAGAAACCTGGATTGAAGATGGCAATGACTGTATGGGAATAGAAGAAAAGACCAGCTGAAAGGCGCTGGATATGTGGATGTTAATGAATCTTCTTGCTGGAGTCTGGCCTTCTTTCCATGAACAGAAAACAAGACAAACACAGATAAAACAGAAAGGAAAGAACAGCAGAGATTGAAAATGCAGCTTTTGTTTTTAGTCCTGATTGTTACTGGCAACCTGACCACTAAGAGCAAAACAGTCTGAGCACAGTTTTATCAGCCACTGTGAGACTTGGCAAACATTCCGATACTGTGCTGTTTTAAACATCGATTTTAGCAGCCTTTTTGGACACAGACATACTGCAGTGCAGCTAAAAGGTCAGCTGAAACAGACTGAAAGCTAATGTCATGAAGTGAAAAGAAGATATACAATTAGGGAAGAAAAACGAGACAAGAAGTGAATGTGGGGATATCTGGATTTAAGTGTGACAGTCCAGGTGGTTTTCAGACCTGAACTGCAACTGGGAGAGGTGATAGCAGCATTGAGATTCCTCTCTTTGGTCAGGATGCCCTTTAAAATCAGGTAGTGAATCCTGAAGTCATATAGTGAGTCTAAAGTCTCTAGGAGACTGCAAGACAATGCTGCTTTTGGGCCAGATATGCTATGTTGTGTCAGTGTAATCTGGCAGGTGTGGATTCCCTTATGATGAGCTCCCTTATGAGGAGCGGCTGAGGGAGTTGGGTCTCTTTAGCTTGGAGGAGACTGAGGGGTGACCTCATCAATGTTTATAAATTTGTAAAGGGCGAGTGTCAGGAGGAAGCAGCAAGGCTCTTCTCAGTGACAGCCAATGACAGGACAAGGTGCAATGGGTGCAAGCTGGAGCATAGGAGGTTCAATCTGAATAGGAGGAAAAACGTTTTTACTGTAAGGGTTACAGAGCACTGGAACAGGCTGCCCAGAGAGGTTGTGGAGTCTCCTTCTCTGGAGACATTCAAAACCCACCCAGACGCGTTCCTCTGCAACCTAGTCTAGGTGATCCTGCTCTGGCAGGGAGGTTGGACTGGATGATCTTTCAAGGTCCCTTCCGACTCCTAATATTCTGTGATTCTGTGATTCACAAACAGCTGGTGCTGGGACCAGGTTTCTATACTAAAAGTTTAAAGAAGGTTATTTGAATTAGCTCTGGTTTGACCTCATAGACTTAATAAACATTAGTATTTGGAGTTCACTCTCCAGATTACTTTAGCCTGAAAGGAAATCTGAAAGTCCCAAGAGCACTTTATAATGAAAACCAAAGCATAGTCGCAGGGATAAATGGAGATTAAATTAGAAAGTGCAGACTTGATCTCTGTAGAGAGCTTTCTGGGGACAGAAGTTCGCAGAAATAACCTTGGATTGCTGCAGGAGCAGAGAGAGGGAGCCTTTCTGACACCATCTTGCTTAACCTGCCTACAGGGAGAAAGACAAAAGTCCATCCTTTCCATCTTACTGATTTTTTATTTAAGGAACAGATTTAGGTTTTTATTATCCTGGATAAAGTCGAGTGTAGCCCTTAGTGTATTATATGTTCTCACTGCAAACTAAATCCACTCATAAATAAGATTTATAAAATTTATATTTCATTTAGGCACGTAAGTGCTTGCAGTTATTCTATACGGTCTTTAACTGAGATTGAAAGCACATTGCAAGGATTAATTATGATCTAATAAATGAAATAAAAAATACAGATATTTCTTCCAGAAAGCTGGGAGCATATAACATACACTTAATTTCAAGAGACAGTAAATACATTGGAGGAATAAAGCCACAAGAGAATACAGATTACAGTAGTTCAAGACATATTCAATTTTGCAAGTTCAGTATGGCATCTGAAAGCCATTTTTATGTTAGTTCTTTCACACTAATCCCACTTTACTTGCAGTAAAGTACTGCAAATTATACCATTCGTTTTACTTGTGAAAAGTAACAATGTTCTGTCTTCACAGTTCACTCAGTCAAACAAAACCTTCTGGTGATGTAGTATTTGAGTAGTTTCAAAGGCTTTTGCATCACTTAACATTTTAAAGGGAGTTCAGGGATTTCTGATTTTGACGTAAGGCTTGTTTTTACAGAACACCAGTGTTTCCAAGGCCTCTAGAGAGTAAAAAGAATTTTAACACTGTTAATGAAATTGCTGCATCAGAAATTTATTTTTATAACTCCCCATGTGGATTCAATCAGTTTGAAAGTGTACATTTACTACAAGTTAAACTGATATAAATTACATTTAAAACAAAGAAAGAATACCTTTTCAAGGTTTTGCACCATTTCAGTTAAATCAGTTTAAAATAAAATCTTAAGGCAATACTGTGCAACTCTGTGCTCATATGAAGTCTGACTGACTTCTGTGGACAAAGTCTTCACTAACCAGCCACAGCTTCCATTGGTCACAACAGGACAACAGGCTTTTTATTTTTTTGCTATTACTGTGGCTCACTTTGTAGGTCATAGCAGTGTACGGTGGACCAACCCTTTTTGTGTCTTTTGCAACTTGTTGGTTTCTTTTTTTCCTTCCATCTTTAGTATGTGGTTAGTAAGTGTTACAAAATCTCTCCTGTGCACAAATTAGACCCAGGCCCTAGCAACAGAAAACAAATTCTGTATTTTCAAAATTGCCACATATGAAGAACATAATTTAAGGTAATATGACATCCTATCTTTTGTTTATATGTTCAGTTTAAATTTATGATGACATTGTAACACACTTTTTTCTGAACTACGCAATGTTTATGTTCATAGGGCAAATGGATGCATGAGGGGTGTCAGCACAGGCAAAATCAGCTGAAAAGAGAAAATAAATGATGCTGATCATGGAAGTATAACCTGAAGAGGCAGGAAACAGCGTGTTCGAGCACATACATACGCATGCAGTGATAAATCCCCGCTTCTAGGGGCTCCCATAGACCACCCCATCGGCCCAGGGCTGTGCAAGGAAAAGCAGGATGTCCTGGGGCCCGCCATCCTGGACAGCCACAAACACTGAACCAACCAAGGCCGC